CTCAGCTGTTTATTTCCACTCTGATCTAGTTTCGTTATGGAAATTTAAGAATTAATAATTAATAATAATATTAAAGAAAATATTTCTAAAAAATATATTTTGCAATATATATATTAAAGAAACTTTACAGCTTTAAATAAAGCAAAAAAAAGTTAATTTTTTCAGAAACAGAAATATTTTTTTTAAAAAAATTATTTAAAATATGCAGCAAAACTTTTTTTTAGCATTATTAAGAATTAATTTGTATTACAACTTTTTTCTTCTAAATTTCAAAAATTATAAATTTTCTATAAATATAAAAAAAAACAATTTTTGCCATTTTTCAATTGAATAAAAAAAATTGTTTAAGCTTATGCTAGCTAAGCTTAAATTCATTTTAACAATAATCTTCATACATTTTTTATAAAAAATTTAAGAATTTAATTTACATGTAATTTCTGCAGCAATTTGGAGATGATAATCGATAGACGATAGAGGATAGAATATAAATATAAAATAGACGATAGACGATAGACGATAGACGATAGACGATAGACGATAGATGATAGACGATAGACGATAGACGATAGACGATAGACGACAGACGACAGACGATAGACGATAGACGATAGACGATAGACGATAGACGATAGACGATAGACGATAGACGACAGACGACAGACGATAGACGTTAGAGGATAGATGATAGACGATAGACTCTATACAGACGGAATATAGACGAAATATGAACGATATATTTACGATATAAAGACGATATATAGACGAAATATAGACGAAATATATACGTACATAATTTGGATCGTTAAAGCTGCAATTGAGTAAATGTAAAAGGTTTTGGGGCAAACTCGTTTGGCGACCATAAATCAGCTGCGGAGTTGAAACTAGAGCTGATGCTGCTGCTGCGGCTGCTGCTGCGGTTATTGAGGCGACTTTTTGGCAACTGATTATTGTAGCCAAAGTCGAGACAGCGGCGAAACTAACAATTTTGTGGGCTAACTGCGACGATGTTGCCGATTTTCCGCTACATTTGCCGCACGATTGTCGCTGCTGACTTTGGGGCCGGCGCGAATGCGGATGCGGATGTGGATGTGGATGCGGATGTGGATGCGGAAGTGGAAGTGGAAACTAGAGCATTTACCGCCAGCCAGACAAAGTCTATCTATGTCTGACCAGGGTGCGCTGCCTGTTGGCCATATTACATACTTGAGTGCACTTATTTATTTGCTTGTATGTCAACCTGCATGCCACTGTGTGTGTGTGTGTGTGTGTGTGAGTGTGTGTGACTGCCATTTTTCTATTTTGCGATTTCAATTTGTCTATTGTACAGCACGAGCAGCAGACAAATTACCAAAGCAGGCGAACGCAGAGGCAGCCAACCAGACCAGACCAGACCAGACCAGACCGGAGCAGAGCAGTCCAGCCCGAAGGCCCTAAGGACGCCCAGCTCCTGTTCTTGATTAACCTATTATGATCATTTGATTGCTCGATTTAATTTGCTAACGTTTTTTTTTCCGTCTTTCTTTTTCATTTTTGTTATATTTTGTCGGGCAAAGTTTTGGGCGGGTGGCGGGGCCAGAGAAAACTCATTCTTTGGCCATTGATTCTTTATCAAATTGAATTTCTTTGATGACTTTTTTGGCCTCCGCCTCCCCTTTCGCATTGCATCCATCCAGTCAACAGCAGCAACAAACTGACCCTAAATTCATTTTCATTATAAACTTTGAAGCGGCTTTGGGCCCTTTTCCCAGCCTCCTGTTGTTGGTCAACTCGATGTTTGCATTCATTTGTTATCAGTTTTAATTGTTGCTCCATTTGCCTGCCGTAATTCGATTACAAGTTTCAAATTTTTATGCTCTGCTCCTTTTGCTGTTTAATTCCAGTCAATTATTAATCATTTCTGAGCAGCTTGCTTAAGCTGAAGAGCACATGTTAATACCCTGTATTAAGTGCGATGCGATGCAAAATGGTATATGGGGCTGGGGGAGCCTGTTTGCCAGAGGCAGAGGGAGGCAGGGGGAGAGAGAGAGAGGTAGAAGGAGAGTGGGGCAAAGCAAGAAAGAGAAAAACTGATTGAGACGCAATACAAATAAATGAGAGAGAGAGAGAGAGAGAGAGGACAAAAAATAGGAGACAAATAGATAGAAAGAAAAGCAGAAAGAAATATAAGACTCATAAACTAGTCGATATCGATATATTTATGTCTATCGATTTCCTTGCTGCCGCCCTTCACATCTCACTTATCGATTAATATCGATTTCAAGCCTCCACAATGGAGTGCTTAAGTCAAGCCACTCAGATATGCTTCCCATTCCTCATTTTGCAGGGTATTAAATAAATCAAAAGCTGATTAAGTGCTATTTTTCGCGCATGAATAAATTAAATTTGAATTATTAAACAGCAACAACAAGAACAGCTCGCACCAGTGAGCACGAGAGGCGCCTCAGGTAATAATCTAACAAACATATAGAGACAGATAGAGATATATATGTATATATAGATATATATATATATATATCTGTCGTACTCAGTCTGAGGTTAGCCAATGGCTCTTCATCCGGCACATTCGAACTCTGTAAATAGACGCGACGCGTGAAGAGCTTTGGATGGCTTTGATAGTTGCCGGAACTTGTCGAGCTGCCCGTGCACTTGAACTGGCTGAAAACAGAGCCATTGGCAATAATTCGCTGTTAGCTGTTAGCCGTTGGCTGTTGGCTGTTGGCTGTTGCCTTAATGCCAATTCCTGTTGCCAGCTCCAATAGCCAGTGGGCTTTTCAATCGCCTGTTCAACATGGCGTATGCTTATCAAATTAACGAATTACGCGCTTCACAATGCCAATGACATTTCCCGTATGCGGTTGCAATAAATGATAATCGCACGGCTCGGCCAAAAGCCGCCCACTTAACACACACACACACACACACACGCACACTCCTTTCGTTACGCTGATGGGCGCTGCGGCTGCATCAACCAAAAGTCGTAAATTCCGTTGGTGGCGCAGAAAAACAGGCAACCGAAATGCGGCAGTGAGCAACTGGCTGCTGCACAACAATGCAAACAATGCCACAAATGCACAAAATACGCCCGGTCTGTGACCAGAAGCGCCGCCATCCACCTCCCCCTGGCGCCCACCGTCGGTGCACGCTGCCGGGAGCAATGGCGCGTCAGGGCCGACGTTCGACATAATTAAAAGCGCGCGCCGTTTACGCAATTAATGAACTCTCGCCAAATTAGGCTGCGGCAGCGCGACAAGCAAATGGCCAGGACAAGGATGTGGACGATGTGGACGCTGGGACGCTGGGACGAGCGCGACAAGTGAACGGCACAGGATGTACCCTCAATGACCGCCTGCGCTGCGGTTGCGGTTGCCCTCCAAGTCCCCACCACCCCCCACACTCGCCCACCTATTCAACGAATCCACATCAATGGAGGCGGGCGCGGGCAAATGGCGCCCAACGTGGTGCACAAAAACCGCCGCTTTTGCCGCATTGCAGGGCTTTTGTTGCAAACGGGCAGACGACAGCCGCATTAATGGCCATCAGTAAAACAAGAGTCGCCCGTCCATCCCACCCACCCACTCGTCCAAGGCAGTGCATGCGCCGCCTAAGCATTCGCCCAGTCTGGCCGCCAGACAGTGGAGCTCAAATCGCAGGCCGCACAAGAGATAAGCCGCAGAAAAAAAACGGAAAGCCGAGGTCGAGTTCGAGGTCGGCGCTGACATTTTAAAACAAATTTGCAAAATCAACAAAATGCTGCAATTAGTATTTACTTTATTATAATATTAAAGCAAATTTTAATCGTGTCTTCCTTATGCAGCGTGATCGAGACAGGCTCTGTCTTCGCTTCTCGCTCACCAATTGAATCTGTCTAAGTGTGAGCGAGACAAGCAGCTTACATCACTTGTACTCAAGAAGAAAGCTAAGTCAAACAGAGCTATTGTCTAACGGTAACTGCATACGCCATTTGTAAATTCGCGAATGATAAGCAATATACGCACTCTATGAAATCATGGGAGTAAGGAGAGCGAGTGAGCTTGTGTCAAAGAGATCTAATAATAAAATGGTCGTCAGTATATGTAAATGTATGTATATATAAGCAGTATACAAGCAGTATTTGTATATGTGTAAGGGAGACATGTATTATTTGACAAGCAATTGCAAAATGTTGCATATAGAGCAAATAGCGAACTGAGCATAGAGCTGCTGATTAAATGTTCTTGACAGACGTACACAATTTGTATGCGTTTGAGTGAGATGCATAACTTAACAAACACGACTTGAGTTGAAAAAAACCTTATATTTATGATACTTTAAAAATTGTATTACTGTAAAAAGCACAGTAAGAGATTTATGTACACATTTTAAAGTATTTATGCATATATACTAGCTGGCACGTTAGCCGCAATCAAATAAACCACTAAACCAGGCAGCAATCAACATTTTTGCATATTCCCATTTACAGACATTCTGCCCATGGCCAAAACCATAATGAGCAACTTTAAATGCCGCTGCTTAACACGCAATTCAATAAATTGTGGTCAGTGTCATCGATTTAATTACTGTGCCGCACACATACACACACACACAAACGAGCGCATACAAAAAGAGCAACACTTTCCCACACACAAGCACACGCACACACACACTCGGCACAAAACAGTTAGTCCAACACACATCCCAGCAGAATACAAAGACAGAACACACACTGTTGATATTTTTCTTGCAATTTGTTTTTTTTTTTCTTTATTTATGTTTTGTGGTGCAGTTTCTTTTCATTCAATATCAATTCGTTTCTCCTGCACTCAGGACTTTACAATTTCACTTCACTTCGTTTCTCCTTCAATTTTTCTTTACAAGCAGCCGAGTTAAAAAAAATAAATAAAAAAAAATTATCTTAAAGAATACATAAAAAAAATTGTACATAGCTCGTATAAATACATATACAGCGTATGATACTCTAGTTTGAGTTTTTTTTTTGCTTAAGTTTTTTGTTTTTTTTTTTGTTTTTTTTTTTTTGGTTTTCCTTTTGTTGTTTTTCCTTCCACAATAAGTGAATGTCTTGGTTAAGTTGGCGTTCAAAGCGGAACGAACGTACAGAAAAAAATCAATGATTGCAATAAGCCGAATGGGAATAATAAAGAGAGCCAAAAACTTCAGCTTAAAGCAAAATCAATAAATTAGTGTGCAAACTAAGAAAGGAAAAAAAAAATGTGGGAGCGGGGGGTGGGTGTCGGAAATTATGTATAAAAATATGACTGAGCGCGCTAGACCTCTCACAAATGCCCGTTCTGCTTTAGTTCGCCTTCTTCTCGGCGGGTGATGCCGTTGCCGTTAGCGTCGCTGTTTCTGCTGATGCTGACGGCGTCGTCGTCGTTAGCTGCGCAGCAGTCGGCGTTGACGCTGCAGACGCTGCCTGCGAGCTGATTGAAATGTCCAAGTCGCTGGCGCTATTCTGTAACGGTATAATAGAGAGCGAAGAAAACAAAATAATTACAGTTAAAGTGTTAAGGATCGAGCGACAAATTTAAAAAGAGCTTATTGGTTTTGTAATAGTGTTTGAAGTGAAGTATTGATACACTCACAATACTAATAATAATTAATTAATTATTAATATAGAATCACAAATATTATTAAATTTTGAAGATAGTTACAAATCTCATATAACTTTTAAGCTCTTGATTATTGTTGATGAGCTCTTGAAAATAGATCAATTATAGGAAAGAACAACTTGAAATCACTTAACATATGTGTATATGTATGTCTTATCTCTCGTAGCGTGCTATAATTGGCTATAATTGAACTGTTCAAGAGCATTACAATAGTTACTTATATCTTCAATTGAACTCAATAAATGCTGCGACAATTGATCGATTCTAAGATGTCGATTTAAGATCAATGTGTAAGTATATCGATAAATTTATAGAACATTAATTTGAATAATTAATTTGTATAAAGGGCTGGATGTGCTTCCATAAATAGCTAAAAACGTTCATTTAATGTAAATAAGATTTTTACATAAATTAATCGTTTATCGGTAAGCTAAATATAGGTAACTGCAAAGGAAAATTAACCGAAATAAATCGTTTGTCGATAAAGTGCACAGAGAGACGTTTTCTACAGGAGAAAATTAAACTCCATGAAAGGATTATATATAAGTTAATCGGATATCGGCAGAATGGATAAAAGACAGATGAAATACTATCGAAGATTTTTAAGTAAATTATCGATAGTAATTTGCAAAGGAGCACATGTAATCCTATCGAAGGTTAATCGTTCATCGATAAATTAAATATAGATTTCTAACAAAATCCTATCGTCGGTATTCGGGTAAATTAATCGATTATCTGTCTTAAGACTAAGCTCCCGTCCCCACACTCACCTTCATCTCCTTGCGCAGCTTCATGGACTTGCCCATGCTCTGCAAGCGATAGCGCTCCTTGGCCCGTTCGCGTATCTTCTCGGGCACCACCAGGAGCGTGGTGGTGATGTTGCCCACAAAGAGCAGCAGGAAGAGCCCGCACATGACGGACACGTGCCAGGGGGCATCGGGCGGATAGTAGGCCAGCTTGAAGAGCGTCCAGGCGTTGTACGCCTGAAAGGCGTACCCAATGAACAGGAATGGCAAGAGGAAGCTCAGGCCGCGCCACATCCACGAATGGAAGCCCTCAATGGTAATGTCCATATTGTGGCGTTCGCCCAGCGCCTTCAGCCGATACAGCAGACCCTTCTGATAGCCGAACTGCAAATACTGGACGATGCCTGCGCACAAAGGGAACCAATCAAATTGCGGGCAAACACAGCGATATATATATATATATATATATATATATATCGGTCGGGTTTACTCACTGATGTAGACATTAAAGTACATGAACTGCAGACGAAAGAGTTGCCAATGCTCGCCCTGCGGCCAGACCAGCAGCACTCCGGCGGCCACCGTCGAGATGAAGTGATGGGCGCGCCACCAGCCCTTGATCCTAGATCCATTCACCTTCAGTATGGACTCGCGTATGGTCAGGGTGCAGTAGTACCAGACCAGCAGAAAGATGAAAGCCAGTTCCAGAGCTCTGTAAATGTCAGTGTGTATCAGTGTGTGTGTGTGTGTGTGTGTGTGCGTGTGTGTGTGTGTCTCTACTCACCTGTAGTTGAATATCAAGTTGAAAAATGCCATTATCAGTCCAATTACGTTGAGTATTAACTTAAACTTTTCATAGTCATCTTTGTAGCGAACTTTGTCGTTTCTGTTCAAAATCGAGACGTTCACATCGCCTAGAATGATCTGCAAGGGTTGCAAGGGATGGGGGTTGGGGTTGGTCTTTGCAATGTCAATCGGCGTGAACAGCTCACCTGCAGGTAGCGACCGGATCGCGCCGGCAGCGATTGCTCTATTTCGTGCAGCTGCGCCTTGCGCTTCAGCGACATCTTCAAGAGATCATCCAATTTGTCCTTCTCCTCGCCTTCGGCTGGTCCTTTGTATCTGAAATTTGAGAAAGCCATTTCAATGTAGATTGCGAGTTGAGAGAGGGAGAGAGAGAAGCAGATGTGGAAAGAGAGAGAGAGATGGAGATGTAGAGGGGTAAAAGAGAGAGAGAAGTTGCAGAGCGAGAGATAGAGAACGGGAAAGAGATGAAGATTGACAGACAGACAGACAGACAGAGAGAGAGAGAGAGAGAGAGAGAGAGAGGGAGAAATACCATAGCAAACAAGTAAAACTGCTTCAGTTGGCATTGCCAGACTAGAAGATACCCGGAACACTGCGCAGAGCTGCAATTTCTATCATTCTTCTATTGGGACGCAGAGGCCTTTAGTATTTGAAATGAGTTCTCGGGAATTATGGAGGGGAGGTATCCTACATTGAATAATATCATAAATAAACTTAAGCTCCACAGCTTCAACAATATTCAGGCTGCGCTCAGAAAAATCATTCAAATTATCGATTTTTATCGATAATTAGGAAAAGGGTTCGGTTATCGGTTAGGTTTAGACTTTGTGGACGGTCTATGGCTATATCGAGTCAGCGCGACTTGCTGATCAGCAAACTATATACTGCCTTGTTCTGCCTGTTACAAACATTTTGACAAAGCCAATATACCCGACTCTAATATTTTCCATGGGTACCTTGTTATATGCTATAATATCTTGTATTTCATCTGGTATTCTAGGGAATTGATATAGAAAGCGAGAGAAAAGCAAAGAAACATTTGTAATATCGATAACATATCGATAAGTCAGTTGTGATATGTAATAAAACCCAATAGAAGATATAGCTATAGGAATGATAGGAATGAAACAAGTTCAGTGTGTGACCGATTCGATCTTTGGGACAGGTAAATGCAGTCGCCGTTCCCATCGAATGGGTCAAATGCCAATTTGCATAATTATATAATCTTTATTATTATAGAGCAGGCAGGTGGGGAGGTCTGTACGTTAGCGGTAGTTAGTCCGAGCTGGCCTAGAGCGAACGGTATCAATTATACACACGGCACACGGCACACGGCACCGGGCACGGGGCAATTTCGATTTGGCCCACGTCAAAGTTCAATTTAGACATAATTGACAGTTGCACATGTGTAGGGCATGGGTACAGGGTATATACGGGGCGTACTATATATAGATGTGTGCGGGTATTACTTATGGGTATTACTTTATCATTGTATTCGCTGTTCGTTCGTCGCTTTGTTTGCCTTTTATCTATCGCTTGCATAATTCGTGTTTTTATTTTTAAACATCTAAGAAAACAAGGCAAGCGAGTGCTACCGACTGCACAATACTCGCTCGCAGTCTGAAAATAATCGAATCACTCTTTTGTAGCTCTGCAGAGGAACTCTGCATTCACTTGACTGTCAAGTTTGGTAGCTCTAAATGGAACTCTAGAAGATAATAGAATAGAATTTTCATGCTTCTAGCGCTGCAACTTGAGAAGTTATCGATTATTCCGATCATAGTTACAGGATTGCCTAGACGAATATATTTATATATAGAGAGTATCTATTAGATGTATTTGAATAATAGTAGTTTGAAGGAAATCTTAAGAGTTCTATAGTTCTAAGTAGTTGTACGTCCATTTCGAAAAAGGGGCCTAAAGCTTATATATATAACTTTTATAGCTTGGCATTGTCTAGAGGAGTGAGTATATATCTATACCAAATGTCAAATTTCACTAGAACATGATACGCAACCAATATGCTCGCTTCACTGCATGAGCGGGTATTACTAATATACTCTCTAGACACACATACATATATATGTATATATACATAAAATCTTGCTGATAAGCGATAAACGATGGAACGCAGTGTTAGAGAATGCGAGGAAAGCACTTGAACGAGTGGCGCTGATAGTGGGGGTTACTTAGTTGATCAAATAATAATCGGGCTCTGACTTGCCGTTGATGTATGGCAAAAAGCACAAAGCAAAAAGTTGAAGCGTTAATTCCACCCGCAGGTTTATTATATAACACCGGAAATGGGGCTAAAAGGCGACATGTTCTCATAGACAGTCACACACACACATACACATCTGTGCCAGGCAAGCACAGTGAACTAAAAATAGTTGCTTGTATTTGTGTTTGGCTAACAGATTTTGTTTTCTATTTTTTGTGTTTTTTTAGTTCCATTTGAACACGCGCTAAGAGTCGCGTATGAAACGCGCGCGTTTTGCAGCCGCTTTGGCTGAGCGAAGCAAACACGCAAACAAAAACACAAGCACAAGCGAGCGCTTGCGCAAGTCGCTGGTGCAGCACGCCACTTTGCGCAAGCGCACACAAATCGTGTTCTATTTTGTTTACATACGGTTTGCGCAAACTTTGCAATAACTGTAATTGCTTGGGGTGCCCCTTAGCTGTCGTTAGTTTTAATATTTATTTTTTCTGGTTTTTCGTTTTTGCATTTGTCAATTAAGCTTAATTTGCGCAACTAGTTAAATGCCCTTTAAGGGCTTCACAGGTAGCGTGTTTTTTCTCTCGCACTTTCTAGAGTTCATTTGTAATTTTAGCTCGTGTTTATTATTTTGACAGACCGAAATCATTTAATTTATTGTTTTGTTGTTGCATCATTTGTGAAGAGTAAAGCTGGCAGCTAGCCAAGCGCAAGGTCAACCGTTTGGAGGCAAAGACACAGCAAAACGCGAGCGTCTAAAAACGCTCTGGCATACAAACAAGCACACAAACAAGTGTTTGAGTTGCCCGTTTAGACATAGAGAGAGAAAGAGAAGGAGGAAAGAGTGTAACGCGTGTGAAGCGTAAGAGAGAGTGCAATGAGTGCTGCGCGCTTACAGCATTTATACATGTGCTCTCTGGCGATCGTTGACATACATACATACGTACAATTAAGCGCCAGCACAAAACTCCACAACTGTTACAGCAACAACAACAATAATCAAGCTGGCCTTGCCCGCGCGCACAGTGGGCCCCAGTTGCTGAGCATGCAAACGAAATGTTCAAAGAGAAATCAAAGAATGCGCAATATATATATTTATGTATATATATATATATAACTAATGCTATTTAATGAATAAACAATAAGAATGATTTGCTCAAAGCATTCTGAATATGCAAATAGCTTAAATAAATAGACAACAGAAAAAGAAACTGGTATTCGAGCAATTTGTTTACCTAGCCAATTTTCATTCAACGTATTTGTGCCACTGTGGTCACTCAGTTAGCTTTGTTTATTATTATTGTTGTTTATATTGCTGTTTTTTGTTTTGTGTGGCTTAATGTTTGCTGGCTTTTCAGTTTACGCTTCATGCAACAGCACAGGGTCAAGGGCAGCTTGTCGGAAAGCGGGGCAAACCAAACCAATAGGAAGAGCCAAGGAGTGAGCGAGAGAGAGAGTAGTGGCCTGGTAGCTGGGCAAAGGTTCACTTTCAATTACAAAATAAACTTTTTATGACATTTGCTCTGACAATAAATGCGCCCAACGCCCGTTCGGGCGCAAAGTCTACGCGCATTTAGTTTTATCACAGGTTTTTATCAGAAGAGCCCCATACAGCTGTAAAAGCTAATTGCAAGCTGGCTACGACGGCTAACTAGAAGAAATACGCACTTTGGAGCAGTCGACACAGCTGTTGCTGCTGGAGAGGAGGGGGAGGGGGGACGGGGGTCAGTGGGTCCGAGCCTTGCCTGTTGATAAGAACGCCTTTACTGACTAATTGCCGACATACATGTGTTCCACAATCGGCTGATAAGCAGCGTTTGGAGCTGTTTCTGTGTGTTCGCAGTTGCGAATCTGATTAGAATACCTCGTTCGCAACGGTAATTGATTGAGATCAAATTCCAATTGGAAAACTTCAAAGGGTTGTTTATATTAGAGATGGCCATTTAACGCATTAAACGGAAACGTATTTCACAGAGCGTTGAGCAACTCGACACGGAAACGGATTTGTCATGTTTTAATAGGCATCAAGTGCACTTAACTGCACTTACGATTGTTTACTACGTATTCTACGACGACGATAAGATGTATTTATTATTGAATTTCCAGTTATGGCCGTAATAAATGGCATTAAAACTGTCGTGTCACGCTGTCATCTCTAACTGAAGCCTGTTGCAATTCATTGCCTATGCACATAGCTAAGTACAGTTAGCTGTATGCGTGTGTGTGAGAGTGAATATTAGCAATTATATAAGGGTTGGCTCTACTCTGCATACATATGTATAGCGACTTACAGTTATATATATGTGTATGTATGTAAGTTATTTGTACTCACTGTCGCATAGAGGCTGATATTTGATTCATGCGATATCGTTGATGCTTGATCTCGTTGAAGCATTTCTGTTGATGCTGATGCAGCTGCTCCAGCAGCTCGATGTTGCGCCTGTTGCACTCCTGCAAATTACAAACGCACAAGAAACGCTCTCATTAGCAGCTGTCGTAGGGCCCAAACAGTTGAAGCAGCAGCAACAACAACAATAACGCCATCATCATCATCATCAACAGCAACAACTCACCTCAAGTTCGGCATATTCACGATTGAGTTCATCCCATTCATTGCTGAGCGTCTGAATGTCCATTTTACTGTTGTTGTTATTATTGTCTTCGCTGGACGCGCTTCGCACGATGTCTGTTGTATGCAACAGCTGATTTGAGGTTAGGGTCTATGCTGGCTGTGGTGGTGATACAGAGAAAGAGAGAGGGGGGAAGAAAGAGAGAGAGAGAGAAAGAGGAGGTCAGCCACTTGCCGGCTGCCGTTGGGGCCGCCACCAAAGTTACCAGCGTTGTTGGCTGTCAAGTATTTTGGTGAAAAATCAATTGGCCACAACGCAAGCAATTCGCTTCAATTTCTTTTTCGCTGTTTAGCACAGGCACAGTCACAGTCACAGCCACAGCCACAGCTAGTTGGAGCTGAACGTGTTTGGGTTAAAAACGAATTACACGTAGGTTTAGCACCTGAAGTTTGGAAGTAATGCCGCGCTGCTGCTTGGCTGCGTTTGTTGGTTTGTTTTAAAAATAAATTTGTGCGGAGCAGCGACGCTTATGCCGTGCGGTAACTAAAACTGAACTGAACTGAACCAAACATCGACCACTGAACGGCGACAGCGACGATCCAATTGGTGGCGGCGGCGACGGCGGCGGCAGCGGCGACGGCAACGGCAACGACGACGGCGACGGTAGCCTGATCTAAGGCAGCGAACGGTGCTGTAGTATGTACGCGATAGTTAATTTTAACTACTTAAGACTTAGTTTGGCGACAGCACTTTAGATTAGAGATGCAAGTTAACCAACCACAAACACAACAAACGGGCTACAGCAGACAGTGAGCAAGTCAACCCAACGATACACGCACTCACTCACCAAACAATATTCAGCGCTTGAGTGCCAACAACAAAACAATGAGAGCGAGCGGTGGCGACGACCGACGTTCGCTTGTTGCGCCGTATGTTGGGCCAACTGGTCGTCTCGCTCATTTGCTTGCTATTGCTATCTTCTGTTTACACACACGCTGTGCTGCCGCTAGCGTGGTTGGCTATGGTGAGTTTCTCAGCAATGGTGAGTTTACACGATGGTAAGTTTTATATGGCGCGCGCGGTTTAAATTCTCAATACTAACCGGTAATCATATGTGTAGTCCGTGTTTTTGTTATTAATAAGCAATTTTTTTTCTCGTTGTGTTCATACAGCAGATTTAATTTCAAATGCCAGGCCTGTTAACAGTAAATATAGATTTTTAGCAGCGGTTTTGAGGGAATCAAAAAAAATGTATAACAAAAAAAAAATATTCATATATATATTTGTATATAAAATATATAATATATGTATTAAGTGCAGCCGCTACTCCTTGCGCCTGGCACGCAGTCGCAGCGCCAGGTAGGCAAAGCCGCGAAAGCACACAATGAGCAGGGCCAATCCCACGTAGTCGAGCGGCAGATCGGCGGCGGAGAAGTTGAGCGTCTCCAGTATAACTTTGCCGGAGCTGGGGCACGTTGTGTTCGATGAGGTGCAACTGATTTCGCCCGGCTCCACATCGGCCCACTGGTTGATCAGCAGGCCCTCGTTGGCATACCGAAACCAGGACAGATACGACAGCCATTTCAAATAAATGGGCACCGAGCCCGAATTGAGGAAGAAACCGCCAAAGAGCAGGAACGGTATGATGACTGGCGGGCCCACCGACAACGCCATCGATGTGGAGGAGCTGGCGCAGGATATCAAATAGCCAAACGAGGTGGACACATTGGCCACCAGTGTGACCAGCGCCAAGCAGTTGAAGAAGTGCAGCACGCCCGCTCGCAGCCCAATCATCGGGTATGCAATGGCCGTGAATACCAGCGGAACCGTTAAGAAGAGCGGCAGCTCGGCTATGGTCTTGCCCAGAAAGTAGGTGTCGCAGCGATAGAGTCGACTGCGCGCCTCCCGCATAAACACCGGCAGCTCCGACGTAAACACCTGCAAGACCCAAGCAAACGATAGAGAAGGGAATAGAGTGAGAGAGAGAGAGAGAGAGTTGCTTACATTGATCGTGGCAAAGACATTCTGAAAGGTCATGTTGGTCAGGAAGAGGAATATGGCTCCATTGATGTTCATCACGCCCACCTGCGTCAGCTGCTGCCCCAGAAAGATGAGTCCAATCAGCACAGCCACCATCTGAGATCGGGAAATGAAACATTCAAATTATTTGATATAGAAATCGGACTTTAGTTGTCGGACATCGGACATCGCACGTCGGACATCCAGCGACACTTACCGTGGTCTGTATGAGTCGCACTTTGACCAGCAGTGGCTCCTTCAGTACGGACAGCCAGGAGCGCCAGAGCACGGCCCGGAACTGCATAAACCAGGTGGCCTTGTACGTATAGCCATTCTCGGGCTGTTCCAGCGGCTGCGCCTGCGCCTTGGCAGCCAGCAACTGTTCCATGTCGCGGGCCACTTTGCTAATTGCGAAATTGTCGCAAATCTTGGCGATGCGCTCACGCGACTCCACTTCGCGGCCCGGCACTATGGCCAGCACCTGCACGTAGAAGTCCGCCGGATTGTAGTTGGTCGGACACTGGGCGCCAACACTGCGAGGAAGCTCACGATGAGTCTCAGTGGGCTTATGACCTGGGCCATGTATTTGGGGGTTACTTACTAGGAAAAGAAGTCCACTGCCTCGCTGGGTGTGCCAAGGAAGGCGACGCGTCCCTCGGCGATGAGGAGTATCTTGTCGAACAGCTCGAAGAGCTCCGATGATGGCTGATGTATGGTCAATATGACGGTTTTGCCCTTTTGGGACAGCTTCTTCAGCACTTGGACGACGCTGTGCGCGGTGAAGGAATCGAGGCCCGATGTGGGCTCATCGCAAATGAGTAGCGGCGGATCGGTTAGCGCCTCCGAGGCGAAGGCCAGGCGCTTGCGCTCGCCGCCCGACAGACCCTTGACCCTGCCCGGCACGCCAATAATCGTGTGCTGGCACTTGCTTAGCGACAGCTCCTGGATGACCTGATCCACGCGGGCCACACGCTGCCGATAGGTCAGCTGCCGGGGCATACGCACCATCGCCTGGAAGATGAGGTGCTCCCGTGCGGTCAGCGAGCCAATGAATAGATCATCCTGCTGCACATAGGCGCAGCGCGCCTGCATTTCCTTGGCATCCACGGGCTGGCCATTGAGCAGCCGCATGCTGGACGGCGAGACCTGGACGCCATGTGGCGACCGGAAGGCTAGCGCGTTCAGGAGCGTCGTCTTGCCGGCACCGGAGCTGCCCATGACGGCCAGCAGCTCGCCCGGATAGGCAACGCCGCAGACTATAAGATCACAGAGGATGTCAATGGTTGGAATCGAAGTGGATCGCTCCGTGGATCTTACCATTTTTAAGCAGATGCTTTCGCGGCGCCGGAATGTGGCGTTCGTTGCAGAAGAGGCCGCGCGTCCGATTCACCAGCTGGCGCCAATTGGAGCCGGGCTGATGCACTGCACCGAATATGTCCACGTTGTGCCAGGCATAGGTGAGCGTTTCGGGCTGTTGGCCGTCGTCGCTGTGGCTCAGCGTGCCATAGTTCTTGGCCTGGCCAAAGCTTTGGCTAAAGCAGCTCTGCGATGTTGGCGCCACATTTGTGGCAGGCGCCGTCGCCGCCGCCGCTGCTGCTCCCTGCTCCCCCTGCTGTAAGACACAAGCCGTTTTGAGTGCGTGAGTGAGGATGAATGGATGGACGCCTGGATGGCTGGACAAAAAGGTTTCAAAACTTTTCAATTTCGCGCGAATAGCCAACACTCGTGGCCATAAAAAAGGGCGACGGCGCGTAAATCTTTTCGCCGTGCTAATTCCGTCGCCCACTTACGACCTTTTTCGAATGGCAGCGCGGGCGTCGGCGGAGGCCCGGCCGTTTAAGTTTCATAAAAAGACTCGAGCCCATTTAAAATGTGCAAATTAGGGCGTCCATAAGCCGCAGACTCTGCTGAGTTCTCGGCCCTGTTGCCACTTCGTAAGACAATTGGCCCGGCGCAAATGCCCAAATCGCCGCATTCAGTTTGGGTTAGCGCACTCAATGCGGAACAGCCCATTCACATGATGGCCATTTGGTAGCGAGCGAATGCCAAACTTTGTCCTCAAATCCGCCTTTCGAGTGCACTGAATCAGTTCGTCCGACTCTGTCAAGTAATTGAGCAATTGGGCATCTCCCAATTTACTTAGCATACATTTCTTTTCGATTATCAAGCGAGTTAGCTTGCTTGGCTGTGCACGGCCACTAGGCCGTGCTCCTTTTCCCATTGAACGCAAACCCGGAAGCCTTGCACCTTTGTATTTCATCCGCTTACCTTGGCTTTAAAGCCGATCGCTTTAAACTTAGATCTAATAAATTGTAACCCTTCACAGCTATATTTTTATACTGTAGGACTTCATTTACTTAGTACTTGCAGGCAAAGCCCTTCTATCTGATTCTCATCCAGCCCAGCCACTCGCCCTCAACTTATCCAAAATTCAAATAAGAAAAACTCATTTCTGCGTGAGACCTTTTTCTGTGATTCTCATGACTAAATTGTCCTTTGGAAGAGTAACATAAATGAGCTCATACCAATTGAAGTTTCTTCTCTTGCATTGTGAACATAATAAAACTAATCTCTTTCTCTCTCAGTCTTTGTCTCTTCTGTCCTTCGTGTCTCTCCTTTCCCTCAGCCTTCGTTTCTCCTTCTGTGAGTTTCTTCTGTCTTTCTCCGTGTGTCTCCTTTCTCTTCTTTCCGTCTCTGTTCTACTACATCTCTTGCTCTCGCTCTATCTCTATGCTCCATTGTATCTATCTCACGTTCTTGGTCTGTATCTCTCTTGCTCTCTCTACATGCCTCTATCTCTCACTTTTTCTCACTCTCTTAATCTATTTCCATCAATCTGAGTCTCTCACTCTTTCTCTATTTTTCTGTGTTTCTCTCTCGCTTCATAAGTCGTTTCTCCCTCTGTCTCTTCTCTCTACATTTCGTTCGTTCTCTCTATATCTATCTCTTTCCCAGCTCTTCCTTTACAACTCTTGCTAGCTTTCTCCATCTCCTCTATAGTTCTCTATTTCACTCTCTGTCTCTCTCTCTCTCTGAGTTATTTTACTTTTCTCTATCTATCTATTTCTCTCCTCTCTCTTTATATCCATATTTCTCTCACTTTCGCTGCCTTTCGCCATCTCCTTCTATCTCTATCAACCGCTCTGGCTCACTCATTCCCTCTCTGTAGCTGACTCTGTCTCTCTGCCTCTCTTTCTATCTTGCACTCTTTTCCCATCTCTTTCTCTCTCTAATATAGTCATATGAATATGTATGTTTATATATAGGAATATTCATGTCAAGATCCTTTTTTGTTTTCTATTTCGGACGCCAGAGAAAAACAAAGTTTCGAGTGACGGGCCGAGTCCATTAGGCACATTCATAAAGTTGGCAGACTTATTAATTTGTTTGAGATACTTAGTTAGGGTAGTTACAATATATATATATATATATATATAGATACATATATATATACCTGTCCCTGTATATAAGGCTGCAGCGACATCTGGCGTCGAGCTGAGCTACGCTTGCGGCGTTGCCAGGCAGCTAAAGAAAACGCATTTCTTTAAAAGTTATGCAGAAAACGATGCGGAGAAAGGGAAACAAAAAACACAAGAAGAAAGTACGAAAATTAAATAAATATGAAATGTGAAATATAAGCCGGGGGCCGAGCTGGCAGACAGCGAGAGATAATGCAGCAACACACACTTAAGAAGCGCCAAGGAGGCTAACAACAACAACAACAAC